GTGTGTGTGTGTGTGTGTGTGTGTGTGTGTGTGTGTGTGTGTGTGTGTGTGTGTGTGTGTGGGGCTAACCTGCCAGGTGCTGAGACCCTGGAAGAAGAAATACAGCGCAAAGCCCCACACAACCGCCGTGAAGAGAATACACACCAGCGCCAGACACTTGATTCTCTCACCGCTCCGCAGCTGAGCACAAACAGAAAACTGTGAGCTCCAAAGGTCCCAAACATGTCTGCTACTTTCTCCTGGTGCTTCTCACATGCGCAGAGTTACTAAACACACAAACCTTCATGATGATATAAAAGGCAAAGTAGAGCAACAGGTTACAGATGGCGATGGCCAACAGGTACGAGGCAAAGTCGTTGGGTCTCTGTATGAGGCCGTAGGCAGCCCTGCAGAGAGATAGCGAGATACACATCACCTGCCTCCTCTGCACTCTGCTGATTTAAATGAGCTGGAAAGACAGTTTGTTTTACTCACAGAGACCAGTTGACTATGTTCCCCATCACAAGCAGAACCATGCGGTCCTGAAAGACATACACCGGCGGAAAAATGATTAAAAAGCAGGTCATCAGGACTCACCGATGCCTTTTATTGCTCTCTGCAACTACCGGTCGTTAAGATAAGATAATAATTGAGTTACCAGGTAAAGGCAGAAGGACCTGCTACCTTATGCAATACACTGATACTGGATTTTCTGGCCGTTACTCACAATGTACATCGGCCCGCTGCACTGCCTGATGCAGTCTGTGTAGATGACGTAAACTATCCTACGCATGATCCCAGCGTCTGATACGTGAACACACAGAGAGGAAGGAGAGAGAACAACAAGGATTATAAGCTGCTTTATTTTATTAGAATATCCCAATAAGTGGATTTAAATATTAGTTACTCTGATTTGCTAGCTTATGTGAGACACACGCTCACACGACAGCCTTAATATAATCCTGGACTACTTTAGTTGCAGTCAGTTATTAGTCTAAAGTGACTCATTTTAAGCCAATAAAGCCCACTGGACTGAGTTTGCTTTCTTTCTGTGATCTTACTGAGCCTCCATCGACCCATATAGTAGAGCTGTGTGCTGAGCAGCAGCGTGGCCAGAATGTGGATCACAGAGAAAACAATCCAGAAGGCTGTGTTGTCTCTCCCAAATACCTGAGAAAAAAAAAAAGCACAGCACAATGATTATTAAGAAATCCGTGTTTTTAGACCATAAAGCATAACTCAGGTTTTGTATTGTGTGTGTGTGTGTGTGCACTTACCACTCCCAGCACAGAAAAGAAGATGACAGCAGCGAGGCAGGCGTAAGCGGTGTAAGCGCTCGCGTTGATGTCCGGGTGTCTCTTCTGATAGAGCTTCAGCATACACAGTCCAGCAATCATGTACATGAAGGAGGTGTCTGCAGGGAGGAGAACAACTCAAATGTACCGCATGCAACTTGAACTTTTTTCAGCCCAGGACTCAAAGTAAACAGACAGAGAGACAAAAAATAATGCATTCACAAATTTTACAGCCAGCAGAAACTCAAGAAACTGGCTGAAGCAGTAAAAATGTAACCGCACAAAGAACTGATGCAGACTAAAGCCAGGAAACCTCATCTTCCTTTGAAGTGACAGCTGCTTAAAGCCAAAACTCTCTTCAGACTACTGATCCTGACAAAGGTAAAAACAACTGTAACCATGTCGAGTCTGAGTAAGGACACAATCGTTCTTACCAAACTGGAAGTTGGTGTAGTTGGGACAGACGTGGTAGCAGGCACTGAGCAAACCCTCCATCATCAGAGCAGTTCCCATGGCATAGAAGAGGCCAAAGTGCTTTGGGATACCGCACTCCTGAAGGAGGAAGAGACAACCTGATAACTAAACTACCGCTGTCAATCATCATCATCATCATCTAAATCTTTAAAAACACATCTTCATGACAAATGACTACACGTTTGTCAGTGTGCGTGTGCCTCACCAGCGCGTTGACGTCATGCCGCTCCAGAGCACGATTTTGGGCGAGGTCTCTCTTGAGGACGATGAGGAGAAAGAGGAGCCCCAGCATCACGTAACCAAGGTTACTGAGGATGTTGTTGAAAGCGCTGTGTGGAATTAGTTAATCGTTACTTTACGCGGGTTAGCTGATGACGTTGGACATGTTAACACACTGTGCTCGACTGCAAACCTTAGAGCTCCGAGCGGGTGGGCGCACAGGAAGTTGTAGTAGCAGATGTCCTGGTTTCCTGTAACATTGACAACCTGTGGAGAACAGAGATGCACACGTCGTATTAGCGAGCTGACGGCTTATCGGAATCTTTTTTTTAAAAAAAGTGTCGCCATGCTTTATAAAATCATTGTTACCGTTTGATAGGTGATGACCAGCTGGACGACTGGCAGGGCGTAAAACACAGCAATCGTAGCAATGTTCCTGAAGAGGGTACAATTATTACTTTCAGCCACTCACAACCATCAGATCTGCAGCACTTCATTAATAATCAGTAATATTTTTTAATGTTTCATATAATGTCAAACTATGGCTTGGTTAATTCACTGTGAATTGATTTGGCTTAGATATAAAAGAATATCATGTTTCTTATCATGGGTGCAACAAGAGAACTCACCAGAAGTAGATTTGGTACTTCTTGCTGAGGATCCTCTTGTCTTTGCGGGCCAAGTCAGCCACGTACAGAAATTTCTGTAAGAGGAAGAAGAGAAGACTTTATTACTTTATTAAAGTCTGGATGAAGAAAGCATTAACCTCGCCTAATTAATGTTCAAACTCTTTACTGCTGACAAGTTTTTTAAATTTGTGACTCTGGTTTAGAGGTTTAATATAACGAAGGAACACATTATTAAATTGTCTCTGTGCACTTGTTTCATTTGAGCTCAGTATGAGAATATCTGCTGCCCTGCTCTTCGTTTTACACTGTGTGTGCGCATGTGTGTGAGCTCAGAGCTGGCTTTTATGGAAGGGAATGATGCTTGATGGCTTTGCTAAACCAGAAAGACCATGAGAAAATTTTGTCATTGGTCAGTGAGAAAAATACTTATGAGCCCCTGAAACGAGACCCAGGAAGTGGTTACAGGAAGATGTGATAGATTGTCTGAAGCAGTTAGAACAAGACAATGCTACTGACCGGACCTCATACCACAGGCTATACCCAGGAGAAGCTACACCAAGTCTGTATGTTTACTGAAGACACATAAACAGGAGGTAGCTCTAAGACCAATTGTCTGTATGATCAACTCGGTCACCTATAACATCTCAAAGTTTCTGGCTTCGACCCTCAACCCGCTGAACGCCACATCCAGAACAGCTTGGATTTTGTTGAGAAGGTGAGAGATGGCATTATGGAGGCAGATGAAACAATGGTCTCGTACGATGTTACATCTGTCTTTACTGAAGCAGTGAAGGTCGTTTGTAAGAGATTACAGGATGGTTCACTACCAAGTCACTGGTTCAAGTACGTGGGTGACATCTGGGTGAAAATCAAATCTCAGTATTCAAGGTTTGACTCTCATCATCCACTGGAGCATAAATTCTGTGTCATCAGGACACCACAACACAGCCCAAACTCCATCCCCACAGACAGCAGCCAGGGAAGCAAAAGAACATTATACCAAGAAGGCCCTGAGTAAATGTGGTTATCCCAACTGGACATTTGTCAAAGCTGGGAAGGCACCTAAAGAAAGCTCCAGCCGATCCAGGAGAGGAGAACAACTGCTGCTTAAGCGAAAACCCTTAATGATCCGTACGTGTCAAGAGTATTGGAACAGTTGAGACGCATTTACTATAAACATTGCATCTCTGTAGCTTTCAAACCCCAAAACACACTGCGCTAAAAGTTGGTCCACACCAAGGATCGGGTCCCTCGGGACAAACGGAGTAATGTAGCATACGCTGTTAAGTGCCAGGAGGATTGCCGTGATTTACACATGGAGGAGGAAACCAAACAACCTCTGGCGAAGCACATGGCACAACACAGGAGAGCTACCTCCAGGACTCTGCAGTCTATTCACACCTACAGGCCAGTGGACACTCTTTCAATGATGAGGACACATCTTGGACAGGGAGGAAGGCTGGTTTTGAGCGCGGAGTCAAAGAGGCCATTTACGTGAAAAAGGAAAGACCATCTCTGAATCGAGGAGGGGGCCTAAGGGTGCATCTTTCACCATCTTACAATGCTGCGATTGCAGCCATTCCCCAACTCTCTGTGAATGGGACTCATGGCAACTGATCAACAGCCACTGATCATAAACCATTGATCAGTGGCTGTTGATTTGTGAATGACAAATTCCATATTAATGATCAAGAAACTGACCTCACAGCACATTGTTCATTCAGTGGGGCTGGTTTCAGTCATTGTGCATAGGTACTGTTTATAAGGTTGGGGAAACCGAAGAAGTCACATGGATGAGTGACAATACATTTCTCCCCCTGAAAACGCCAGATGATCCAGATGAACAAAACCAAGTTTTTAGGATGCTGCTCGAGTTTTAAAGACCCGGCTGGGGTTTAAACTCTCAGAGATGTAGCGAAACTTGGCAAATATTTGACAAAAATGGAAATGAGAATGTTTGTTATCAAAGAAAAAAAAAAAAAGTTATGCCTCCAGTTTCCAGTTTGGCTCACCATCTCCACAGATGAATCCAGCAATCTGTTAGTGACCAAACAGATCAGATGGACGTTTTTGTTCTAGCACCCTGAGGTACTAGAGGTGAGGACTACTTTGCACATTCACAGATCTTTTCATTCTAAATAAGCCAGATGTGCAGAAAGCCACATCTGTGCCATTCTGAGGCAGGAAAAATGATTTTCACGTACCTTTGTGCGAACAATGTTCTTGTCGGAGTGTATGTCATCCAGTGTGTCATAGTCATCCTCCTCAATGGAGCTCAAAGACTCCTGCCTGCTCCGTGCGACACTTTCCAGCGATCGCTCTGATTGGAGGAGGGAAGAGCAAAAGAGAGTCATTCTGTCTAGTGGAGGCACAACGTGAGCAGGCAGACCGACGACTGGATTTAAGGGAGTTGCAGGCTGATGCAAAAAGGTGATCCAACACATCGCACCTTTCAAAAATTATCTTCAATTTTCAAAATGATTAAATAGATGACCAGAATGATTTTTTTTTTGGTCAGATGATCTTTGCGCTGATGAGATCACCGTCGCTGTTCATTTGAGTGCCATCAGTGGAGAGAAGTGGCCACTTTCCCGGCCTCTTAACTCCACTGATATTTGATTGACATGGTGGCTGATTGGTTTGGGGTGCTGATTCGGCTAGTTATATGGTAGCGTGTCACCGATGCGGATGGCTATGTAGTGAAGGTGATTGAGGATTGGTCGACGTTTGAAAGGCTCCTGTCCTAATGAACAAAGACACACAGAAAACCAGTGAGGGTGTGGAGCTGCTAAGAATCCATGTGCAAGCCGCTCTGCAGAGTGGGCCAAAAAAACAAGAAAGAGGGAAAAAAGGACGTGTGAGTCTCTGTTTGCTCATACCCATGTATCCATAGTTGTTGTCAGTTGAAGTGGCGCTGTCGGTAATGGCCTCTGAACTCATTGTGCTGCCGTTGTCGGCTGAGGAGGAGATGACTCTTCGTTCATTGGCAATCAAACAATGACATCACAAAGACTAAATGTTTTTTTGCTTTTTTAAATACTCACCAAATGAGCCATATTCATTTGGTGAGGCTGGAGTTTTTCCTGTAAAGACACAAACTTTCAAAAATCCAAGAAAGGATACACGCTCCCAAATGCTCACATGCACAAACAAGCGGCACTACGATCAACGTTTAGTTAGTATCCTAACACTGCACAATGATCACTGTGTTAGTCAGGAAAACAGGGAGGTGAGGCGGACGCAAACACCTGAAGGAATCCAGTGAAAAAATGCAATTCCTTAAATTCTTTTCTGGCTGGGGGCAAAAAAAAGTTATTAATCTCCAAAAGTGTGAAAGCTGAGAAATGAGATGCAGTGAAGAGGATTATTTCAAAACTAGTGGTTTAAAATCAAACAGTGGCAGCAACTACTGCAGTGGATAGATACAGATACACACTGGGAGGCAGCCAAAAAAAGCACATCAGCAGCGCTTGCATTCATCTTAGCGCCTTCATGCTTTTAATGGGAGTGCTGCTGAAAATATGCTCACGTGTTTCTTTAGCTCAAAGCCATAACGCTGTGAGGACTACAAAAGGATAACACTATTACAAACACAGGCAAAAGAAGCTAACAAAGACCCATGTGAGTGCATATCTGTATCTCTGTAAAGCCAGAAAAGCCTCAGAACAGAGCCACGTTTATGTCCATGAAGCCCTGCAGCCGAAAACGTCTCTTTCTCTTCTTTGTAGGGTAAAGTATGGAAGCTACTGCATGCAGAGCATCTGCAGACAAGCAACACAGACTGAGAGAGGGCAGCAAGTGCACAAGGGGAGTAACTGTGTCTGTATACCGTCGCTGTTCTTCCCGAGCAGAGAGGCTGAATGGCAGGGGGGAGAGAAAGATACACGTTCAGTACACGCTTAAACATTCAGCTCTGAGATAAAAGAGTGGCAAACAGCTGTGGGACTGCATGATCAGTCCAGTTTAGGATCACATTTACTCTGGTATTTAATTAACAGAACAGAACAAGCTTGCTGGTTTGTGGTCAGTGCACACTGCTCCTAATGGGCCGGTCCATCAGAGCTAGTTGCTGGGTTACCTGTCTCAGCAGGTGACATGTCGGCAGGATTCAGAAACACATTTCTCCTCTTGTTCAGTCTGCAGAAATAGAGAGGGGGGAAAATGCAAATGAACACAATTTGTATTCAGTGCAGTGTCATTCCTGCAGTGCAGATCTACTCTGACAATATGACGTCCGACCTCGTGGGTTGAAACGTGGGCTGGAGAGGGACTAATTGATGTACAGGAGGTTGGAAATTAGTTGTTGTTTTTCCAACCAAAGTGCAAAACTTTCTGTCATTTTCAGGCAGCTACAAGTTACCGTCTGCCTGCGTCTTGTTGTTGCGGTGCAGACTTGCAAAGACGGTTGTTTTGTTGCCACCCTGGCTTTTCTATTCTGTGTTTCGGGTGAAGACTTTGGTTAACAGTTGCATCTTCCTCACAGGGTTTTGCAGATGTGTACAACATAATTGCTGATTCACTGCTCTGCTTTCAGTTCAGTGAAATTCAACAGCCAAAATAAATAAATACATGACAGCTAACGGTTAAGCCATTTCTGACGTTTACTGTTCAGCTCTTTTCAATTAATCAGCTATTCCTTCTGCCCACCTGCAGCTTTTTAAAAAACTCCTGCATATGCTGTTGAGTTTTGAGGTCCGTTTGGAAGGGCACACCCTAAAGCACGTACTTCCTACTACTCCGAAAACAAGCCAGAAAAAAAAGGGAGACACGATAAAAACAGAAAAAAAGATGCAGGCCTGATATTTCCTACAGGTGTGAAATCAGTTTATTTATATATGCATATGCTTGACTTTTTCTGGGTTTTGAGTATAACATAATCTAGCTTCATGCAATAGTGGAAGACAAAGATGCAGAGATGGCTTTTCTAAGTGAAGAACATTCCAACACGACCGCCGCAACTGGAAACTCTTTTGTACAAGTAGCAGATAAACAAAGCAAATGATGACTTTGCTGCAGAGGCAATTTCAAAACCTTACCGTGCACGCTCTAGACAGACACAGAGCAAGGTCAGGAGGTAGAATGAGAAGAAGATCCCCAAACAGAACAGCATTCCCATCACGTACACCTCCACTGCACGGGGGGACATATTAACTGTAAGCTAATTTGCATAGTAAAACACAACATTCTGTATCTGCTGCCAAAAAAAAACACAAATCTAAACAACACAAGCAGAGAAATCTCAGCTTCTTTTAGCACATGCTAACCCTCAGCGCTTCACATATGTAGCCATGTGACTTACAGTTGATTGCGGGTGAGACCATCACATCGAGGGCCTTGCTGCGATTGCCGGCGTCAATCAGCTGATCGGGTCTCAGAGGGTAGAAGCGCAGCGGGCCGCCGCATGCCTCGTCCTCAGTTTTTACCACCACCACCACGTAGAAACTGTTGCTGGGGAAATCTTTCCTCTAGATAAAGGCAGAAACACCTACATTCAAATCTACACCAGGATTTATCGCAACCGGTTCCAATAAGCTCTGAATTTCTGCGGGACACTACCTGCACGGTGATGGCACCTTTTTTTGTCATAGTCTGGTACATCCCAATGAAGGCCACGTTGTTGTCAAGGTCGTAAATGGGGCACTGAATGGAGACAGTGAGAGAGGGAGAAAAAAAAACTGAATTAGATGTGAAAAAAGAAAGATTCAGATGGATCGTTTCAGAAGTAAATAAGAAAACATTTTTGAACAGCAAGAAATCAGCTGTGGTATCCACTGTGATGCCCTCATGTGGTCCCAGAGTGCTACTGCACGCTGACCACTGAGGCTGAGGGAGGGGCCTCTTGAGGGCTGCTGCAGCACAGCTGAATGTGTGCTCTGGATAACTGTACCTGGATGTCCTGGATGGACATGACAGAACAGGGGAAAGTCATGTCCGAGTTGACCTTGACGATCACAGTATCCACCCCGTCTTGGAAGACATACTTGAAATACTGAGAGAAAAGGAGAGGGAAAGAAGAGGACAACAGTCAGCGAGGCAGTTTTCAGAAAGATCGACTTGAGGATGGCGTTTTAATTGCTGACAGCACAATAAACCATTAAACCAATACGTCACCCCATGGTCCATTTGCACAATTTAATAAGTGATATGTTACTGAGAGCCTCCCACTCCAGGTTCTCAAAAGGTTTTATCCAGTTCAGTTGTAGCCCTCGACTGCAGAGCACCTCACGCATACAAATGAGCTGACCTGATAGCTTACAAGCACAGACTGGGAGAACAAAGCAAAGCTGATGCAGAAAGCAGACTGTCTTAAAAGAGGTCAGAGACTGACAACGTCTTCATCAAGTGTCAAAAGAAAGTCATGGAGTCATTTGCCACAAGCTGATCTCCGTTTTCAAATAACATACAGTCGTGTGAAAAGTAAGGTTTTCACAGGATTGGCAGTTTTGAGCATAACTCAGTATAACTCATAAGTTATACTTATAAGTTATACTTTCAGCATAACTCATAACTGCTGCTATGGGAATGAAGAGTGTAAGGAGGAGCCAGGTGCTGATAATCAAACACACTTGATTGATCGGTCATCAGCAAGTGTGAGCACCTCTGTAAAAGCAGAAGTTTTGGCAATTTGCTGCTCCGGAGCATCAATAGGTAAGTTAACAATATGTCACCATCTTCTCAGGAGTGGAAATGCCAAAAAATTCACCCCAAGGTCAGACCGTGCAAAGCTTAAAGAAACTGCAAAAAACCCAACAGCGACATCTCAGACGCTACAAGCCGCAGTTAAATGTTAAAGTTCATAACAGGACAATTAGAAAAAACTCAAACTGGAACAATGTCCTTTGAACAGACGAGACTAAAGTGTAGATGCTTATCCATAACGCACAGCACCACGTTTGGCGCTAACCAAGCTTATCAGAACAAACATCTCAGACCAACCCCGAAGCACGGTGGTGGAGGGGTGATGGGTTGGGTTTGTTTTGCAACCACAGGACCTGGGCTCCATGCAGTCATTGAGTTGACCACAAACCCCTCTGTTTACAAAAGTATTCGTGATTCAAATGTCAGGATACCAGCGTGAGAGATAAAGCTTGGTCCAAACTGGGTCACACAATAGGACAACAACCCCAATCATAGCAGCAAATCTAGAACAGAATAAACAGCTAAAAAAAAGAAAAGAAACAAGGTGTTGCAATGTCCAGACCTCAACCTGACTGAAAATGTGAAGGAACCTGGAGAGAGCTCTGCATAGATCAGCAACAAACTCACTCCATGACAATACTGATAAAGTCATACAGAAAAGAATTACTTCAAGTTATTGCTGCCAAAAGCCAACTGTAAGCTACTGAATGACAGGTTTTACTTCATTCTTTTTCATAGGACTGTATAGATCAGGGGT